GAAAACTTTCCCCCAAATTCATAACTTTGCCTTTTTTTTTTTGTTTTTTTTTTTGTTTTGAAAATACATCTTTGACTCCTATAGCATATGTTCTTGCGTGTGTTTCTTGGCACTCCTGAAGGGCAGATCTATTTCTTACATGCTTGATGCCTTAATTTTACTGGTGAATGAGTTTTGTCCTGGATATGTGTACAGAATTTCTGTGTGCAGAATTCCTGTGACAGACACAAATTTTCTATAATATCTTTGTATACATAGAGCTTCTGTATTAATATCAAGTTTGCTACCTGCCCACCAGTAAAGCCACATGCCATCATCAAATGTTAATTGGCTATCAGTTGGGTATTTAGGCCTACTCATCTGCTAAATGGATAGTGTGAGGAACTTATACCAGTTAATGGAACATACTCTCTAGTCATTCCTGTGAAATTGTTTGCATACTATAGATTTGTTCCATTAGAATCACACCATGAAATGAGTTTTAAATTTCTTGCAACATTGCAGGTTGTTTAAAATTACTGTTTGTTTTCTGGTGTAGACTTGAAGAAACCCAGAATCACACACGATAGAGGGTTCCTCTGGAGGTCATAGAGTCCAACTTCCTGTTAAGAGCAGGCCTAGTTAGAACAGGCTGCTCAGAACCTTGTCCATTGAGTTTTGAATATCTCTAAGAGTGGAGATTTCACAGCTGCTCTGGCACCTATTCCATGTTTTGGCCATCCTCATGGTAAAAGTCTTTCCTTTTACCATGTTCCCACTTGTGTCTGTTGCCTCTTGTATCTCTGAGCACCTCTGAGAAGAACCTAGCTCTGGCTTCTCTTTATCCTGAGATCAGGTAGTTGCAGGCAGCAGTAAGATCTTCATCTTCTCTAGGCTGAAGAGACTCACATCTCAGCCTCTTCCCATATGCCACATTCCCCAGCCATCTTGGCAGCCATCTGCTGAACTTCATTCAGTTTGTCTGTAGTTTTACTGAGGAACCCTGAACGGGGCACCACACTCCAGACGTGATCTCATAAGTGCTAGATAGAGGAGAAAGATCACTCCCTTTGTTCAGCTGTTTTCACTGTTAACTAATACAGTGTGGTTGTCTGGCTTTGCACAAAGACACACTGCCGAGTCTTGTTGAATTAAGTTACTCCATCATAGGAATATGCAAACGCAAATGCAGGACTTTGCGGTTGCTTTTGATTAAGTTTATGAGGTTCCTGTCAACCCATTTTTCTAACCTTTGGAGGTTCCTCTGAATAGCACACATGCCCTCCAGAGTGGGTTGGCATATCCTCACCCCTAATTTGGTGTTGTCTGCAAATCTGCTGAAAGCACACTCCATCAGATTATACAAGCTGTTAGTAAAGAAGGGAAGTAGTATTGGCCCCAACATCACTAGCTGAGGGATACCTCTAGTGACTTACTTCCAGGTGGACTTTGTACCACTAGTTTTAGCCCTTTGAGCTCAGTATTTTAGGCAATACTTGACCCACCTTATCACCTATCCTTATCTTAGCAATTTAGATATAAGGATGCTATGGGAGATTGTGTCAAAGGCTAAGATCAAGGCAGACAGCATCCAGTACTCCCCCTTCACCACAGAGCCAGTCATCTCCTCATAGAAGCAATTGTGTTAGTCAGGTATGGTTTAGCCATCATTGGTAGCTGTTCCCATTCACTTTCCTGACCTTCACTGCTTGGAAAATTACTTTGAGAGAGATGTGTTCCATAATTTTCCCAGGCCTGATGTGAAGCTTGATGGCCTGTAGTTCCCCAGATCCCCCTTTTTGCCTTTTGTGAAGGTGAATGGGACCATTTGCCTTTTTCCAGCCATGGGAAACTTCTCCAATCCCCCTGACTTTTCAAAGGTGATAGACCTGTGATAGACAGGTTATAAGCCTGTGTCCATCTATTGCATCACTCCAGTCAGGGGTGCTATTCCACCATGTCTCCAGTTGCTGTAAGAAGCAACAAAAACCTGCATGAGTGGGAATTCAACATTCTCAGCTCAGTTTGTATAACAAGGGACAGGAAAAGTCTCAGGTGTTTTTTCTACACAGGTTGTCATTAGCACCTACTGGCAGGTATGGGAATAAACCGGTCAGCCTGGAAGTGTTTGAATTATCTCTGATCAAGAGCAGGTGGCACAAAAAATAGATGGAAAAGTGGTTGTTCTAAAGTTATGGACACATGTAAAAACACAGCCATAAAATAGCTATTAGGCTATGTGCTCTGGGGAAGGACTTGGTCCTAGCCAGGGACTGAGCCAAAGCTACAGATTGTGCAGTAGTCTGTGCCTAAGTATGGAAAACCATGTATTTGTGTTGGAAGGACAAAATGGAGTAAGAACAGTTTAAATAATAACATATAAAAAGGAAAAGTGTGAAGTTGTACCTCAGAAGTAGGAAAGATTTTCTTCTTAAAGGTAGTTTTCAGGTAAATATTGATCAGATACTGCTAATGTTTGGTGGATCTTAATTCTTTGAAAGGTACTTGCAACATTCAACATTTCTCAGGGTTGTGCTGACACACCACATGGGGCTATGGTCGTGCTGCAGTAAGGTGGTGTTGGTCCCTCTGAAGTCAGCAGCAGCAGCAGCAGGACTGTGCTTTAGTGCAAAGAGATGTTTAGCGTTCAGTGTTGATTTCTGTATGTGGACCAGGGTGAACATTGGTAAGTACAGATCACACTGGAAGCAGGGAAGATGGCAAATGTGTAATCAGTATGGTGGTCTGATAGCTGAGGGTCTTCATCTGCAGCTGCTCAACTGGCATCTTGCACTTCATGACAGCAGTGCCCAACCAAGAACAAGGTTTCACAGATTTACACCTAAGGTTGACTTTGCACTTAGAGAGCACTTGGAGTGAAAACCAAAGCATGTTCTAAAGTCTTCTAAGGAGCAAACTTTAAAAAAATTACTTCTAAATTTACATCCAAGCAGCAAAAAATATCTATTAGACAAAAAAATAAGATTTAAACAGTAAAGAGAGGTTGTGGAGGCAAAAAGAGGGAAATGAGTTTAGCAAGGTGCCGCCTGGTATGGAATGAAAGAAAAAAAACTTGAGCTGCAAACTCATCAAAAACACAGTTGTTAATTGAAAAGCTGACAGACCTGTAACTACAGCAGCGCTTCTGGCCGCCACTGTAATAAATGTAACTGTACATTTAGAGTAATTTGCTAATTTGCTTAAGTAACACCCACAGACAGCAACATGACATAAATACATTAGTGGAAGCAACAACTATAACAAGCTTGTGCAGGTTCTTGGCTGCTAGATGGATGGATCAGATGAGCTGGAAAAGATTTACAAAACAACAGAAATGGAATTGTTAACGGCATTGCAGCACCCAGGATTTTGTTATTTTCCTGTTTCCCAAGAATGCTTTAAGGCCTGTAGATGCCCATACATATTGTAGCATGTAAGTAACATTCTTAACTTGTGCGTGTATGTGTGCAGACACCCAGAAAACTTGTAGAGATGGAGTGCACATCTGCAAAATGCTAAGCATTTCAGAGGCAAAAATTACAAAATGTACATCTCAGGTAGTTGTTCAGGTAAAAAAAAAAAAGAATCTAGCATTCAACATGTAATTATCAGTACCTGAAAACAGTTTCTGTTAGTAAATATTCTAAAGTCACATGTGTATAGAGTCCACAGGAAAGACTGGAAAATGTACAATCAATTTTCCTAATACAGGCGTTCCAAGTGTCTGAAACTTATACTTCAGAGTTACCCAGATCTTTTCATTTGGCAAATAATGAGTTTAGCCTTCTGGAATCTCCTCTGGGCTAGCATTGTTCTCTATTTCTGTAACTCTGAATTACACTCTTGCATTTTATTCTTAAGTCTACTCATGCCAACTTTAGCCACTGTTTATTGACTCATGGTTTACCTTCTCTAAATATCCTACGTGTAGGTTAGGGTTGGGATCATTTCTATGTTATCAACAATACATGTTAAAAATGACGAGATAGCTGCTATGCATGGTGGATCTCATTTTCAAGAAAGTATTTCTTTCTAGTCCCAGTCTCCTTTTCTGACTGTCTTCATTCCGATGCACATTAACAGGGCAGAAGCAAAGCTAATGAATGCAGCTTTACACAATTTCTGTCCTTGTTTCCTCTCAGATGTACTCAGGTGGTTTCTCTTGAGCTTCTTGAGGCGGGTGATGTCTGCTCTCAGGGACAGAATCCAGTTGATAACCAAATGTGGAGTCAGGTGGAAAGTTTCTGTTGCAGTGCTGCTCTCAGGGAGAACCCATGTGTGTGGGCATGCATATTCTTACAGTCAGCAGGAGGTTGTAAGGTTTTTCGCTAAATACGGGTTGTGAAATATTCTTGAACATGAGTCACTTTAAATTATAGTCCATGGATCTAAGGAAGTCACTGAGAAAATGGAGCAGGAAAAAACATGGGATCGAGGCAGACTGCAAGACTTCTTTGTGGGATGTGGAGTTTTGACAGCTAAATCCAATCTCCATCTTGCTTGAAGGCTTGATCTGGAAGGGCAAAGAGGGCAGCAAACCTCTCTGGCTGACCCAAGTTCTGAGTCTGTAAGACCTCCTCAGTAAAGCAGATAAAGACCACAGCTCTGGGAGAAGAGAGCTGACATTATTTTATGAGCGTTACGGCTGATCTTCTTTGAACCCTAATTTCTGTCAAAGAGTTATCATCACTGTCACAGTAAGTGATACTTGCAGCACAAATGGCAATTAACTAGAAGTAAATAGTAGAGCAGAAGTCTGCAGACTGGTTTTTAAGGTTGATGAGTTGAAAGTAATTTCAACACATTAATGCTAAGCATGCTAAATCATAGTGTGCCCTGAAAAAGACAGTAATGTCGTTTACCTGAAATCACTAGGAATTGCAGTAAAACGTAGTAAGGGGTGTGCTCGATTGTTTCCAATATGTGAACATATTATAAGAATTGATAATAGTCTGTGAGTCTGTTTTCTTTTATCAGATTTTCCATAAAACAAGTAATTTGTTTGTTTTTCACTGTTTTAGGTAGCCTGCCCTATGAGTACAAGATTGTGATAGCAGGAAATCATGAATTGACCTTTGACCAGGAATTCATGGCTGACTTGATCAAGCAGGACTTTTACTATTTCCCTTCTGTTTCTAAGCTGAAGCCAGAGAGCTATGAAAATGTACAGTCTCTTCTAACAAACTGCATCTATCTTCAAGACTCTGAAGTGACGGTGAGGGGATTCAGAATATATGGCTCCCCTTGGTAAGCAGGTTTTTAAGCATACATAAAAAAAATAATTATTGATTGCTATCACATCAGCCATTTTGTATGCATCAGCTATATTTGGATTGCTGCCTTAGGAAGAAAAGTAATATTCAGTTTGATAAGGTTTTTATATTTTCTTGTAATGAATCATTCCTGTGACAAAATAATGTACTTGTACTATGAGTATTGTTAACCAAATAATGATGGGAAAAAGATAGTGTGTCTTGAACCCTCAGCGAGGAGTAGTTCTCTAACATAGTCCGTGTAGGGTTTTTTTGTGTCATAAAATATGTTCCTATACTTAGTGAATTTATGTAATTACAGTTTAATTTTATTGCAAAGGGTCTATTCTTTTGACAATTTCCATCCTACAGATAGTATTTAAGTTTCATTACTGTTTACAGTAGTCATTTAACACAGCAAACTTGTTACAGTATTTGTTTACGCCTCCTTTTTTTTTTTTTAAATATCCCTCAGAATGTTATTTCTTTAATACAGTAATAGCTTTCCTTAAGGTATAGTTAAGCTTCAAAATTGAAGTCAACAGAACAGTGGCAATCTAGTATTTCATGGATTTTGCTCTGTTGCATAGAGTGAACACTTAGAATTCCTCGACAGTATCGGAGACAGATGGGCTTTGGCTTCCTGACCTCCACCTTTAGACCTCATATGTGTTGCTTCTGTGCATCTTACTTAAGTTGCATTACTACTGTGTTATTTCCACTGATGGGACTGTAAATTGGGTCTTTTATGAGCATTCAGTATACATATAAAAGAAGTAAAAATTTATTTTAAAAGGCAGATTTTTAAGGGAATCTGTTACTCTTCTTTTTAAAATCACATCAGGCTGGAATGTAGCAAACAAGTTGTCAAACCTGATGCATATACCCCAATGTGAATTTTCAGTGTGAATAAACTGTGAAATCTCTTGGATTTTTCTTAATTTTTTTTTTTTTTTGTAATGAAATTGGCATTTTCCCACTTGGTTACTTGAGATGGGTGTTAATTTTCTCTAAGCTTATTATTCTGCATTTGTCTACATTAAATATCTTCCCTTTTAAATGCACCCTTCTCTCTATCCCTCTTAGATCTCCAGATTGTTCTGGGGGTATTTTTCAACCTACTCACCTGCTGTGTTGTAGTTCATGTTCCTCTTGTGTCTACTGTGTATTCGATCAATGTACAATTTACTTGATTTTCTGAATTATTAGGGAAGACGTTAGATGGTATCAGTCCCAATATTAACTTCTGAGAAATGCCACTTGGCATCTCTTCCCATTTTGATGTTCCACTGTAAATACCATAATTATGCTCTGTTTATAATATGTCTGGCAACTTCATATCTTCATTGCGATATTTGTAACCAGGCACCATATTTCCAGTGTCAGTAATAATTTTCCAGGCACTAAAGTACCAAAAGTCTCATTAAAGTCTAGATAAATTAAATTTCAGCAAAATATTATCTAGAAAGTAGCACTAAGTAGAGGCTAAAGAAACCATTTGAACTCCCTGTGTATGATTCGATGTGTAAAAATCTGTTGAGAAAACTTTTGTCCACCCACTAACCCATAAATAATGTTTCTGTAAAATCAGATCTGCCGCATTGCATTCCCTTTGTGCGCTAATCCTGTCATTTTGTGCAAGTTGTCTAAGCTATCTGGCATGACCTGTTCTTCATGAAAAAAGATTGCTTTCCATCTATGCATCTTCAGGTCATATCTAAACTTCCACACTACATGTTTCACAGTGTTGCTAAACCATCTCCCACCCCCTTATGGTCCTGGAAGATGAGTGTTGTAAGGTCCTTTGAAGAGCTTTGCTTACTCCATATGGGAGAAAGTCTTGATGAAAGTCTTCCAGCCAAACTTGGTTTTTTTTCACTTGTTATTGTGCAACGCCGAATGAAGTTTCCATGCTAATTAATGTCATGTCCAGTAGAGTCAGCAACAACAATAACAGCAGTAATTTAAGTCACTCTTCATTAGTCCATCAGAACAGCAGATGCAGAAGTAACCAAGTCACATCAGCCAGCTCACCAGTCAGAAACTTTAGGAAGAGAAACAGCTATTTTGTGTAGGTTAAACTAGCTGCCTGCTAGATCGAAAGCTGTAGTACAAGTCTGTGCTTATTGATCACTACAGTTCTTTAGCAGTTCTTTTTGGCTCAATGTTTCATTCATTCTGAAAAGAGAGGTTTGTCATAGCCTCTGTGGGAAATCACTCTCAGTTTCTTTCTATATCATACTAATGTAATTTCTAAAAAACTACAGAACTTTGGTGAACTTTTCATGGCGAATCTGTTTTTGCCCTTGCATCATGAAGCCAGTCCTTTAGAAAATGCTTATGAGCATTCAAGTCAAGACTTGAATATTCATAATTCTTTAAGATCTCAGAACTCAGTAAGAAAGCTAAATTTCATGCAGTTGCTTGTTTAGTATCCAAAAATAATTTTCTTTTCCAGCCTTGAAAATGTGCATCTAGCTTTTTGAATGGGTTTGTTTAATGGAGAACTCCCAATTACAGTTCATGTTGTTGTCCATACCTGACTCTGTTTAATGAGAAGATGAACTATCTAGAAATTGAAAGACTGGGGCCCCAGATTCTGCCTTTCCATTTTTGGTTACAGCCCTGACCTTACTTCATCCTTTGTAAAAATAAGTGCAAGCTAGAGATATCCCTGCTTTATAAAACAGATTAATCAGTAGTTGCAAAGTACTTTGAGAATGCTGGAGTAAGGTCTGAGTCACTGTCAACCAGCATTAACTTAGTACGTTTACCTGTAGCCACCTGTGTTTCTATGTGTGACCTGTACACCATTAGATTGTACTTAAGCTTAAGATATTCTAGTTGCAGAATAAACCGTGAGAGCTTGATTGGTTTGCATAACCTGCCAGTCTCTAAGGCCTTTTAAATACGTACCGTTTGTGTGTGGTTAAATATTTTCAATAGCACTTGGGTATTTTGATCTCTATTATTATCTAAAACTCAGTGGTTATTTTTAATTGCATAGAAGAAATGGGACAGGTTTGTCTCAGAAATCAATGCTTTCACTCTCTTGGGCTCCAAGGGCAAGATTTCAAGTACCAGATTGAGCTTCTACCCACTAACAAAAATTTTAACTGCCTTAAATGTTAATTACTCTAGTGTAATCATCAAGCAGGGAGCATCCATTTTGAAATCAAGTTGCAAAGCACAAAAGCTGCTATTTAGGAATTCGTATTTGCAACACTGGTATCTTGGACCACGGATTATCAGTATAGATGATAAGTGAGAGGAGTATAAATAAGAAAGATGCTTGACAGTGCACCATACAGTGTTGGTTGCCAAATCTGGATGAGCAGGACATCAGGAAGAATGCATCGTGCTTCATTCTAGTGTAGCCCACACGCTGGGAACTACTGAGGATTTTTTGCATAGAAAGCTAGGCACAGGAGGATGCCCTCTGGTGTCATCCTAGCAAAGCCAAGGACATGTCCAGAACATATTCACAGACCTGGAAGCAATCTTATGTAGAGAATAGCCGTAGTTGCTATAAAGTAAACCAAAGATTTTGGTTTCTCAGTAGCATTTGTTGTAAATTGGAAAGCTTCTGATTGGGAAGTACTTTTAAACACTCTTATTGATTCTGGACTGCTATGAGAAAAGTCAAACTGGCAGACAGAATAACACAAATAATTCTACAGAATAGTTCTATGATTAACATTTAACTGCTAAGCCTTCCCAAAGATGAAGCCATTTTCCAGAGGGGTTTGATTTGTTTTTCAGTATAACAGACAAAGTCATAACATGTGAGTAAAAATACAGCAATCAGGAACCCCAGAGAGGAGCAGAGAATCCATCCTCGGCTGTTCTCAAGACTTGGCTGGACAGTTGTGGCTGACCAGATGTAGTGGTGGTGAGAGGTAGGGAGAGGTCGGTTGGACTAAAGATCTTCAAAGGTCCCTTTCGAGCAATGTTTCTGTGATTCTTTCAATTCAATATGGAGCTAGAGTTAGGTATCAGCATTGATACCTGAAATGAACATGTTATCAACAAAGTCCTTACAATAAGTCCTTACAATTAGTACTCTATAAGCAGTAGATGGTCCTCACAGGTAGCTTCGAAGTCAGGAAACCAAGACGATAGTGGAAAAATGAATTTGATTTGAAGCAGAAGGTCTTTCTGTGTTGTCAGATTGAGTATTATCTCTGTGATGACATCATTCACAGAACCATATTAATAAGTGATAGTGAGTATTTCAGTTCCAGATTTTCAGCCTTCTGTTATAGTTCAGTACCATCACAATATCTTATTATTTGCAGGTGAAAGTTTTAGTGTTAGCTACAGCTGGAATGAAGATAGGCTATACAATCCACTTGTGCCTGGGGTAAAGATTTTAATTGCACAGTTACACACTGTATTTGCACAAAACCCCCTGATGTATTCAGGGCACAAGGTCTGCTGTGCTTGCTTAGTGAGTCAACTGTGTATTACTCCATAGGCAAAACTAAATGCCTGTACAGGTGCATGTACATTTTTGTTTCAACATGAGAATACCTCTCTGAGGTTCATACTTACACGTGTGATCTGAGTGTTGCTATGTCTGCTTCTCCGCTGCACAAGGTTCCAACAATGGACTCTGCCCTACTATATGTTTTTTCTATTGAGTTTTTTACAACACAGTGGGTAAGTAACTGTGCTCTCTGTTCTCAAGTTGTATGCAATAACTTAAGATAAGACCTGAAGATTAATGAATTGACCTGATCAATAATCAAAAGCTGTTAGTGTCTGGCAGAGGTTATACTGGGCATTCCACCAGTGTGTAATATTACATCCCTGCGTCAAATTTATAGAAAAAGATGTGCATCTGCAGAAGGACAGTTATTCTGTGTGTGATCTTGTGGAAAATGGCGGAATACCAGTGACCTTTTCTATTAAAAATGGATTATTAATGGCAGGGTTAGGGTACACACTTGACATAGTGAGAGAAATGCAAGTGGCTGAAGAAAAACATCTTCT